ACGGAAGAAAACATTCAAATGCATCAAATGTGTTTTACCCTACCTTCGATAGCCATCCATTCAGCATAGACTTTGTGATTTGGAATTCTTTACAAGTGCGATATTTATTCTGACCATTATTGTGGTAGTAGTCGATGACCATGAGTTTGAACTCCCTTGGATAGGACATCCTGTTGCTGCCTGCTGAAGCTGCGAGCTTTAGAGCAATCCATTCTGCTTTCAGTTTTTCCTCTGTGCATATAGGTAGCACAGTCTGAGGATTGTTTGATGTTTTTTGTGAAAGGGCACTATTGTGGATGACAGTTTGACGACTCTGAACCGATAGGTCGAGTGGGTCTTCGCCCATTGCCCTGAGCGATGCTGGGCGAAGAGGAGTCGGTCGAATCACTTGCGCAGAGCTTATGGGGGGCTCTGGTTGCCTCGTTGTGGGCATAGTAGGATGCTCGTCCGTTTGATCGTTGTCGACATGGTATAGAGCTTTATAGACGGTGATGAGCTGTGCAGTGGCTCGCTCCAAGGAGCGAAAGTCGAGGGGGTACATGCGCGTCGGCAGCGCGGGGAAAGTGAGAATGCAGGCGGCTCTCGCTCTTTTGCGAGCCCACAACCGCAACGGAAGGTCGCGCGTTTTGCGTTTTCACCACGTCAAGGTCACCTTCTCTAATTTTAGTTAGGTTTTTCCTGAAATTAATACATAAGTAGAGTAGCCATGGCTGGTCTCTTCCGCCCTACCTTTGCAGCAAGCGGTGATTGTAGATCTCGGCGGCTTCCGATGTCATTGAAGTGAATCTTAGCGTTCAAAATACATAAAGCTTATTTTAAATTTCAGCTTGTTATCCGTGTGAATCTATCAGTAGCTGCTCATATATTTACAGACAGAGTTGTTGTGTGGTATCTGGTGTATCAGTGAACTCTTTCTGACTAGCTTTATCCTGTATTGAGCTATGCCCATTAGTCTATTCGCACAATCACGACCGTATCTGCAGTGTCAATATTATTTTTCGCTTAGATCTTACTTTATTGCTACTATCGTGAAATGCGGGTTACTTTATAATTCT